AAGTGAGCGCAGCAGCAGCAGCAGCAGCAGCAGCAGCAGCAGTGTTTACCTGATCCATCCTCTCGCAGCAGCTTGATGCCGAAGGGCCATTCTTCTGACGGCTGCAGCAGCAAATGAAGGAGCTCGCGGGTGTCAGTTAGATCCCTGCTGCTGCTGCTGCTGCTGCTGCTGCTGCTGATGCTGCTGCTGCTGCTGCTGATGCGGGGCAGCAGCAGCACCATAATAGAGTCAAGGAGACAGTTGATGAGCTGCAGCCAGTTGCTGCACTCTGCTATATCGATTGTCTCCGCTTTCGGCTGCTGAAACAGCAGCAGCAACTCTTGCTGCTGCTGCTGCTGCTGCTGCTGCTGCAGGCTCACTGCCCGCTGCAGACACTCCACCAGCTGCAGCGCTCCGTGCGGCTGCTGCAGCACAGCAGCAACAAGCTCAGCAAACGGCAGCCGTAGAAGTAACTCCCAGCTGCTGCTGCTGTTGCTGCTGCTGCTGCTGTCGCTGCTGCTGTTGCTGCTGCTGTTGCTGCTGCTGCTCTGCTGCTCGGCCTGCATCTGCTGCAGGCGCAGCAGCAGGGCGCAGCGCCACAGCCGCCTCATCTCCAGCTGCTGCTGCGTCGTGCTGCTGCAGCACAGGAGGTCGTTGCTGCGGTTGATGGCCTCCTCTATGCTGCAGCTGCTGCTGCTAGATGTCTCCTGCTGCTGATGCTGCTGCAGCTGCTGCTGCAGCTTCAGCTGCTGCTGCTGCTGCAGCACCAGCTTCTCCTGCTGCTTCGGATCCAACTGCTGCTGCCGCTGCGTGCATGCATGCAGCGGCGGCAGCAGCGCATGCAGCTGCAGCCGAATCTCATCCAGCATCCCCACTGCGTCTTGCCTGCAGCAGCAGCAGCAGCAGCAGCAGCAGCAACAGCAGCGGCAGTAGCAGGAACAAAAGCAGCAACAGCAGCAGCAGCAACAGCAGCAGCAAGACGTGAAGCTGGCTGCTGCAGCTGTCGCAACAACCCTCAGCACTGACAAGAAGAGGATCAGCAGCAACTCCAGCAGCAGCAGCAGCAGCAGCAGCAGCAGCAGCAGCAGCAGCAGCAGAAGCAATGAGGAGACTCACCGCATCTCTGGGGGCATCTGCTGCAGCAGCCGCTGCTGCTGCAGGAACTGCAGCAGCAAAATTAAGATAGAACGACGGGCCTTGATAGCTGCAGATACACTACAGAGGCAGCAGCAGCGGCAGCAGCAGCAGCAGCTGACAGTTTGCTGCTGCAGCTGCGCCTCCTGCTGCAGCAGCTGCTGCAGCAGCCGCGGCCTCCCATCTGCTGCTAGCTTTAGTAGTGCTGAGCCTTTGTCTTGCATCTCAGCAGCAGAAGGAAAACCAAATTCTGCTGCTGCTGCTGCTGCTGCTGCTGCTGCTGTGTGCTGCTGCTGTGTGCTGCTGCTGCTGCTGTCGCTGCTGCTGCTGCTGCTGCTGCTGCTGCTGCTGCTGCTGCAGTAGGCTGTGCATATGTGCGCTCTTGCTGCCTCCAGCAGCAGCTGATGTGCTGCTGCTGCAATGAGGGTTCTACCCCAGGCACTGCAGCAACACAACAGCAACCAAACCCTAAACCCTAAACCCTAAACCCTAAACCCTAAACCCTAAACCCTTTCAGCATGTGTCTCAGGTGTACGTACACCCAAGACAGAGACAGCAGCAAAATAACAAAGACAGCAGCAGCAGAAAAAAAAAAAGAAACAGAGAAAGAAGCAGCAGCAAGAAAGGCGACACAAAGACAAACACAGAAAAGCAGAAGATATAAAAAAGAAGCAGACAAAGACAGCAGCAGCAACAGCAGCAGCAGCAGCAGCAGCAGCAGCAGCAAAAGTACCTGCGTTGCAGCTTCCTTATGGGTTTAATTTCTGTTTCTAGTTTGTGGGGTTCAGAGGAGAGAAAGAACTGCAGCGCAGCGCCGAGGTGTACATACACCTCAGCAAACCCTAGAGAGGGGTTTTGACCCCCTGCTGCTGCTGCTGCTGCTGCTGCTGCTGTTGCTCCTGCTGCTCCTGCTGCTGCTGCTGCTGCTGCTGCACTCGATACACTCGGCAGCAGCTGAAGACACGGCAGCAACGCAAACCCTCTCGGGTATTCGCTGCAACGCTGCAGCAAGCCGCAGCACAAGCTGCTGCTGCTGCTGCTGCTGCTGCTGCTGGTGGTGGCATCTCCGAAGCCGCAGCAGCAGCTGCTGTTGCTGCTGCTGCTGCTGCTGCTGCTCTCGTTAGCGTCGCCATCAGCTGCTGCTGCTTCTTTGGCCCCTGCAGCAGCTCCCGATATATTTGCAGCAGCAGTATCAGTTGCTGCTGCTTCAGTTGCTGCTGCTGCTGCTGCTGCTTCTGCTGCAGCTGCTGCTGTCGGCGCTGCAGGCGCAGCTGCCGCGGCCGTCATAGCTGCTGCTGCTGCTGCTGCTGTTGCTGCTGCTGCTGCTGCTGCTGCTGCTGCTGATACCTTCTCCCTAGAAGGGTTTTAAGGGAGAGAGGCAGCAGCAAATATGTGCTGTAGTTGCTGCTCCGTTGCGTAGACGGGGTCCTCAGCTGCTGCTGCTGCTGCTGCTGCTGCTGCTGCTGCTGCTGCTGCAGCGCATGCAGAGGGGGCTGCTGCAGCAGCAGCAACCGCAGATCTCCGCAACAGTGTTGGAAGCAGCTCGGCGCAGCAGCCTCAGCTGCTGCTGCTGCTGCTGTTGCTGCTGCTGCTGCTGCTGCTGTTGCTGCTGCTGCTGTTGCTGCTGCTG